ATATGGGGTGCCAGGGATCCAACCCAGGTGGGCTGCATGCAAAGCAAGTGCCTTACCTGCTTGCTGTACTATCATTTCAGGCCTCAATCTGAGTTTAATCTTAGTAACCTATATGGTTCCCCCAAGCCCTGCCAGAAGTGATCCCTGAGTATAGAGCCAGGAGTAAACCCTGAGCACAGCCAAGTGTGCCATCCCCCTCCCCAGACAAAGAAAACGAAACAAAAATCCCTGGCACACCGTGTAAACTCACCACCCAGTTGAACATTCTGGACTTTTTTGAGCGGAAGGCGTATTCGCAGGCGCAGGACATCTCCAAGCTCTACAATGCTGACAGCCCAGTAGGAGCACACCAGTTTGGAGGGTAATGTAACACGGAAGCCCACTGAGCTTGATTTAACAAAGACGTTCACACAAGAGGCTTAGCTAGCAACAGCAGCTTAGCCAACCCTCAAGACAGGGATTTAATATCCCCATGGTGAGGCATAACAATTTTCAGAAATTTTCTTTTCCCAAAGTATTTTTTGATCACTCTATTAGCCACTTAGCAGTAACAAGCAATATAAAAAAAGTTATTTCAGAGGCAGCCTTGAGGGGTGGTTGGGAAACTGTGAACAGTGGTGGAGGAATGTGACCGTAGTAATGGGATTGGGGTTGGAATATCGAACGCTTGTGACAAACACATCATAAACAACTTCGTAAACCAGAGAGTTTAAATAAAGAGTGGGGGTGAGAGGAATCCCTGGGATGGGTCCCTAGAGAGCCCCAGTTTTGCAAGTGTGATACCATTTGGGGGACAGCAAACTGTAAGTAATGTCTGGTACACTGCCTCTGGGTATGTGGGAGCAAACTGCTAGAATTGTGGGCACCCAGGAGAGTATCACAACCCCATTTTTAAAAAATTTTTATTAGTGAAACACCATGAGGTACAGTTGTAGACTTACAAATTTTTGTGCTTGGGTTTCAGTTATACAATGATTGAGTACCCATCCCTCCACCAGTACCCATTCTCCACCACCACTAATCCCAGTATCCCTCCCACCCTCCCCACCCTCCCATCCCACCCTGCCTCTGTGGCAGGGCATTCCCTTTTGTTCTCTCTCCTTCCCAGTTGTGTTTTAAGTACAGGGTGGTGAATATTGTGACCCAAATGTGAGGTACGAACAGAGATAGGACAGCAGGTAGGTGCTTGCCTTGCGTTTAGTTGGCCCAGCTTGATTCTGGACACTATACATGGTCCCTCGAGCCCCACCAGGCATGCATAGAGCCAGGAGTAAGCCCTGAGCATCACTGGGTATGGGCCAAAACAAAACCAAATTTAAAAAAAAGTGTAAGCATGTGTACCCTCTTTTAGCACTTGTGTACATGCTGCATGAGAGCTCAGAGGCCACTTTGCGGGTACTGTGGCTAGTTGTGTGCGAGCCCCTGTCACTGCAACAATAAAAAGAGAAGCAATGTACAGTGGTAGGGTGTTTGCCCCAGTATCCCTTATGGCCCCCTGAGCACCAGTAGGAGTAATTCCTGAGTGCAGAGTCACGAGTAACCCCTGAGCATCACCGGTATGAACCAAAAGTTAAAAAAAAATTTTTTTAAAAAAGAAGGGACATCTAATAGATATAAGGGTGGGCCTGAAAAGATTACTTAGATCCTATTTGGGTTGTTTCTTTAACAAATAATGCAACACTTCATTGGGGCCAAAGAGATAGCTCAACAGGATGGAGCATGCTTCACATTTCTGCATGCTTTGCACTTTGGACCAGAGTCAATCCTTGATACCTTATGGCCCGTTGAGCACTTCAGGAGCAATCTCAAATGCCGAGTCAAGAATAGTCCTTGAGAACCAGTTTGTACGCCCCCTCCAAGACACATTAGTCAGATTTCTTTTTTCTTTTAGGGTCACATCCAGCGATGCACACGGGTTACTCCTGGCTCTGCAGTCAGAAATTACTCCTGGTGGTGCTTGGGGGGGTGGGGGGGACCATATGGGATGCTGAGAATCGAACCCAGGTTGGCTACGTGCAAGGCAAATGCCTTACCTGCTCTACTATTGCTCCAGCCCCAGTCTCTCTTTTTTTTTTTTGCAATTAAGTAGGAATGGAGTGATAGCACAGGGGGTTGGGTGTTTGCCTTGCACGCACCCAACCTGGGTTTGATTCCTCCGCCCTTTCAGAGAGCCTGGCAAGCTACCAAGAGCATCTTGTTTGCAAGCAAAGCCTGGTAACCTATCCGTGACGTATTCGATATGCCAAAAAACAGTAATAAGTCTCACAATTTGTTGTGAGATGTTACTGGTGCCCGCTCGAGCAAAGCAATGAACAACGGGAGGACAATGCGACAGTGCAATGAAGTAATTTTATTTAAGGATTGATCCTAAAACACACATGCAAGACAGGCACTCTGACGCTGTGCTGTGCAACACCCCAGCCCCCTGGTGGGTCTCAGAGAGAGACAAGCACTTTCTCCCTTTGTCCCACCCCTGTTCCCTCATGGCTTTTGCAGCCAAGTCCCTGGAAACCATCTCCTGACGCTCTCCTCTCGAGCTTGGATTCTGCACTGGCTGTTTTGGCAAATGTGCCTGCTGAGGTCCCAGTGAGGTACTTTCCCATCTTGCTGATCTCCATAGCCTGCGTGACCACACAGAGTGCTTAGGAACTTTCCCAGTCTCTTCCTACTCCAAAACCCCTGGGAACTTGTGCTCCCAGTTCTCCCCTTCCCCCTCCCCACCGCTATTTTTTTTTAATATGGGTCACTGGGGATTTGAAACCAGGGCTGCACACTTGCATGGTGGCCAGGTGGGCATTCTTTTGCCACTGCAGAAACCATTTCTGATCAACTTCAGCTCCTCCCACCTCCAGCCGTAGCTAATAGCGTCTACCTGCTAGCTGTCATCTCTCCTGACTCCACAAGTGTTCATCCAACTGCCTCCCAGGCATCTTCACTTTTTGGTCCCTGGGGCAGCTCAGACTCCACAAGCCCCAGGAGGAAACTCCCTGGCCTTGAGCACACGAAGGAAGCCCAACTTCAACTATTAAATAGTCACTTGTACAGGAGCCGGTGAGGGAGTTGAAAAGAAAACAACACAGAATTGCATGCTGAGTAGATTGTAGTGAGTGAGTGACTTACTAGTGTTAACCATTTTTCTCTCTTCCAATTCCTCCCTCCCTCCTAATATTGTCCCTAAACTTACTTTTTTTTTTTGGTGGGGTGGGGGGGCCCAGACCCTGCAGTGCTGAGTTATTCCTGGTTCTGCACTCGGGGATCACTCCTGGTGGCCTCTGGGGACCAAATGGGATGCAGCGGATGGAACCAGGGTGGGTCACGTGCAAGGCGAACGCTCAACTCGCTGTACTCCAGTCCCCTGAGCTGATTTTTTAAACCCATTACCCAGGAAGTGTATCAAGCTCGACCTTGACACCTTCGTTGACATTTTCCTCATTGCCACTTTCCTCTTCCTTAATCTCAGTCCTTACTGCTTTTCCCGGCCCTTTTGCCCCTCCACTCCCGGCAACAGGCACCACCATAAGCCCTCAATTTCCTCTAGGTCCAGCCCATCTTTCCTTGGCTCCACCCTTGCAACGCTTCACATTTTTCTCATCTAGAGCACGTGGTGCTGACATCACCCTTCTCTTCTAATTTTGCAGTTGATTTCCCCCACCGCCTTAGGAACAAAATCCGAACTCTTTGGACCGGCAGAAGGATGGGGTGGGGGTGTTGTTTCTAATTCTCTCCCCCATCTCCACCTGGTCCTCCTAAGCGGGAAGGTGTTGCCAGAGAACTTCACCAGCTCCAGTCAGGCAACTCCAACCGCTGCAGCCGCTGCTGCTCGGCTATCGGCTCCCTCCGAGAAGTCTTCCCGGACTTTGTCCCCCCAACCCCCCACCGGGCTCTCTGCCCTAAACATGGATCATACGTGAGCCACTCACTATCCGCTCCTCCTGCGCCTGTGCACCCTCACTGGAGCTGTCTCGCAGGCGGAAGTTTTCTCTGATTTCCAGGTGGAGCCTGGATCCTGCCGTTAAAAAAAAAAAAGTGAATCGAGGCAAAGCGTTTACACCCAACAAGAAAAATAAATAAATACATTAAAAAAATAAAACCCCAACGTGGTATGGGCAACGCGGTGTGGAGAGTCGTGCGAATCCGTTCCTCCCGCCGCACGTGCCTTGCCCGGGGTTGGGGGCTGCCTCTGTCCGGAGCGAATGATCCGGTGCTTTCGGGTGCAGCAGGGCCACCCGCGCCCCTTCCCCAGGGCTGAACGGGCGGCACTGCAACCCCCACCCCGGGGAGTCTGCGAAAAGGGGCCCCCCCCGCGGCGGGCCGAGGTGAAACCCAGCGCCCTTTGTTCTGGGCAGCGGCGGAGAGCGGTGCCCACCCGGCCGCCCGGCCCGGCCCAGCCCGCTCGGGCAGAAGCGCCCACCGAGAGGCAGCGTGTGCCTTTGCACGCGTGCGTGTGTGCGCGCGTGCAAGCGCGCGCATGTATGTATGTATGTGTGTGCGTGTGCGCGCGCGCGCGCGCGGGCAGGCCCATTCTCGGGCGGCTCCCGGGGCCCCGCGCGCCCGCCCAGGCGCCCGGGGAAAGAGCAGCCGCCAGCCAGGTCGCCTCCAGAGTCGGCGGGCGCGGCGGGCGGGAAACTGCGCGGAGACCCGGCGTCCCGCGTCGGCGGCTGGCTTTTGGGGAGGGGCGGAGGAGGAGGTGGGGGTACGCGCAGGCGCGTGCGCGGCGGCAGCGAGGAGGCGGGGCCAAGGGGCGGGGCCGGGCGCGCGGGGGCGGGGCCGGGCGCGCGGGGGCGGGGCCGGGCGCGGCGGGGGCGGGGCGGCAGCCGGGCACAGGAAGCGCCGGGAGGCCCGAGCCGTCCCAGGGTGCTCCGCGCGGCGTGGACTCGGGCCGCTGCCGCCATCCCGCTGGCGAGCGAGGGAGAGTGAGGCCCGCCCGCTCTCGCCGGCCGGGCCAGTGGGGGCCAGTGCGTGAGGGCGCCCCGGGTGTGCGCGTCCGTGTGTGTGTGTGTGTGTGTGTGTGTGTGTGTAGGAAGGCCGGCGCCCGTGTCAGCGAGCCGCAGAGCGCCGCCGCCCGCGCTCAAACGGACATGTTGGAGCCCCGCGCCGCCGCCGCCGCCTCTTTCTCCTCAGCCTCGGAACGGGACTGAGAGGGGGGCCCCGCCGAGCCCGCCGCCGCGGCCCGCAGCGGCTTCCCGCCCGGCCGTCCCCCGCCCCCGCCGCCCTTCAGGCCCGGCCCGTTTCCCCTCGCCCCTCCCCGCGCACCCCGACCCCGCTCCGCCGCGGCGCGAGCTGCTTATGTGACCGGCGGGGCCCGGAGCCGCCGCCGCCGCAGCGCGAACATGGACGCCGTCAACGCCTTCAACCAGGAGGTGAGGGGTTTGCTCGGGGGAGCCCCGCGAGAGGGGGGCCGCCGCCGCGCCGCGCGGGCTCGCGGGCTTTGGGGAGGGAGAAGAAGGTCGGGTCCGGGTGGGGACGCTTCCTGCCGCGGTTCCGGAGCGTGCGGGGCCCGGCGGGGCCTGCGGCCGGGCGGGCCGGGCGGAGCGCTGAGGACGGAGCGTGCCGGCCCGCGGGCCTCCCTCCCCCTCCCCCTCCCCCCCCCCCCGCACGCCGCCGAGGAGTGGCCGGCCGCGCACCCTCCCTCCCCTCCCTGTCCGCGCCGCCTGGCGACCCCGGGGGCAGCGCCCTGCGCCCCTCGCCCCCTGGCGGCCTCCCCCCGCCACCGCCGCCCGCCCCAGCCGCGCTCCGCTCGAACTTCGCCGCGTTTCAGATCGCCGCGCCTTGGGCGGCCCGCAGACTCGTTTCTTGGACCCGGCGGGGTCCGGGGCGGCCCCGCGATGTGTGCGTGTGTGTGTGTGTGTAGGGGGTTGGGGTGCGGCGACAACGGGGGGGGGGGCACGCGCGCCGGAGCCTCCGCGCGGCGGCGGCGGCGACGGCCTCGGCTCTCCTGTTGCTCTGGGCCGCTGGACTCTGATCCCGGGTTCGGGGAGAAAAGTTGGGGCAGCTCCGTGTGTGTGTGCAGCTGCAACTCTTTCTCCCCACACCCCTACAGCCCGCCTCAGCCCTCCCCCCGCACCCCAGCGTTTCTACACAAGTTGGGAACGGGGTGGAACCCCGGCGACCCCCCTACACGCACGCACACACGCACCACCACTACCGCCAGTTTCCCAGCCCGCCGGAGGCCGGCGCGCGCGGCCCGCGTCGGGGGGTCGGGCGGCCCCGCCGTGACACCGGGAAACTTGAATGGGAGGGACGAGCGCTCGCCCCGCCCCGCCCCGAGCCGCCCGCGCGCGCCCGCGCCCCCGCCCCGCCGGAGTTAATCCCCGGCCCCCGCAGACCCGAGCATTTACATGTGAAAAAAAAAAACAAAAAACGGCCCCCAGCCCGCGAACAAAGGTGGTGTCCCGCAGCCGTCGGGCGCCCGGGCTTTTAAGTCTGCAGGCATTTCTTGCAAGTCTTTTTTGGTTTTTTTTTTCTTCCCTCTTCCCCCCCCCCCCCCACTTTTTTTTTTCTCCCCTCTTCCTTTTTCTTCTTGGTGCAGTGATTCCCAACTTGGCCCTTTCTCTCGGCGTCGACGTGAGGGAGAGGCAGGGTGGGGAGGGGTGGCGGGACCCCTGATGTTTGGCAAAAGTGCAGCTTCTGAAATGGATCCTATTGTCATGCGGTGGGGGGGTGGCAGCGGGGCTACCACCTTTTCCCTTTTTCTAGGGTTAAAGTTGTGGGGGAAGGAAGAGAGAGATCTTTCGGCCCGCGAGAAGATCAGGGGCCCCCAGGGGGCCAGTTTGCTGCGGGAGCCTGGCTTGGACGCCTCGCAGCACCTAGCCCTCCTCGAGTGGGATTGCGTCGTTGCCGCTCTTCACGGTCGTCCTTTGGCACTTGGAAGGGACCGGTGCCGGGCCAGCCCGCCCTCCGGGCCCACTGCGGCTGTTTATTGACTTTATTTTTTAAAAAAAGGATTTACTCGGAATGATTTCGCTTTTCGACTGATGTGCACAATAAAATGTCTTAACTGCCATGGCATTGGCAACCGGGGCTAGTGCCTTGCAAAGTTCAGTTAGGCATTTTCCAGATAACGAAGATTTTCTTAATGGGGGTGGGGGGGTGATATCTAGAAGACTATGTGGTGATAGGGTTCGAAGTTGAGTTTGTTTCCTGAAGGCAGAGCGTGTTGGCTCCGCGAAGGCAGGCCATTAATGTGCTTGTCTTCCTCTCACTTTCCTGTAGCAGGTGTTTGACAGATAGTTGATTGAGGTTTTCTATGAACGCCGCCGTTTGGGGGGCGGGGGAGGGGGAGAATCTATTTTGTTTTATTTTGTTTTGTTTGGGGGCCACACCCAGCAGTGCTCTGGAATTACTACCGGCTCTGCACTCAGAAATTATTCCTGGCGGTGTTTGGGGAACCACGTCGGATACTGGGGAGCAAACCTGCCTCGACCGTAATCGCTGTGCTATTGCTCCAGCTCCTTAAAAATATCTTAAGTGCATTTCTTTTCTATGATAAGAATTTATTGAATATTTTAATAGCATCAAAAATTTAAAAATTTTAATAGCATTTTTAGTGAGCAAAAAAGTTTCTTTGAGTATCCTTAACGTCGGAAATATTTAATTTTAACCTGCCCTTTTTTTTTTTTCAGAGGTGGAGGGTGTCACACCCAGTGGTGTCAGGGATCAAACCCAAGTCTGGTGCTGTGCAAACACCTTATACACCGTAATAGGGCTATGATCCCATTGGGCATTCCTTTTTTAAACCAAGTTTCAGTTTTGAGAAGTGTGGTCAGTTTTTACTTTGAACAGCCAAAACTGGGAAAGTTAGTGACCCCTTGAAGAAGTCACTTCTTTTGAAAATGTACAAAATGATGGTCTTCTTACATTGGGTGTGTTCTCTTTAATTTTTTTTTTTTTTAATTTACTTTCTTGGGGCCTGTGAGGTAGTGCAAGGGGTAAGGTGGTCCTTTGCGTAATGTCCCCTGGAGTTCAATCCCTGGCATCCCTTATGGTTCTGAACCTGCCAGGAGTGATTCCTGAGTACAGCCAGGAGTAATCCCTGAGCACTGCTGGGTATGCGCCCCCCCCCCCCAAATTTTTTTCTTTCCTGATTTTATGATCTATAGGTTGGATATGTTTTTAATATATATGTTATATATAATATAAGCTTATATTATAAATCTCAATTTCTTCTAAACTGAAACTTTGGAAGAAGGTAGTCTGACCTTAAAATCCACCTTGTGTCTGCTTCATTTGTGGTGCTTCTCAGTTATTTCTACCAGTTCATGAGTATTTACTGATTAGTTCCCTTTAACCTCAAATCTCCTAAACTTCATTTCACAAGTCTTTGCAAAGCTGCTGGTCTCAATACTGTGAAGACTACCAAGGAACTCTGTCGTCTAGAAACCTAATCTAATAGATGACACAAAACATAGGCAGGTAACTTTGTTTTGGTTTGGGGGAATAACACCCAGCCTAGTTTAAAACGGAACAACTTCCACCTTAGTGCTCAGGGGAACCTTGGTGTCTTGGAACAGACCTGGAGCATGGATATGTAAAGCATGTGTGCTGTCTACCTGGCTCCGAAGGATTTGGGGGTGGCAGGAGCATACCCTGGGGTGCTGGAAATCAAACCCAGGGCTTCTGCATCACTCCAGCCCTCTGAGTTAGCGCCCTATGTGGGGACATGGGGGGGGGGGGGGCTCTACCTGCTGCACTATTGCTCTAGCTCTATGGTAGATGACTTCATTGGTTTTTGTCTTCTGTGGCCAAACTTGGCTGTGTTATAGGGATCATATGGGATGCCCGAGATTGATGCATGTAAGGCAAGCTCCCTTCCCACTGTACTCTATCTCTGGGCCCTGGTCAATAACTCCAATATGTGATCAACCAGTTTCCTTTGGGACCCTAATAAAAATTAGTGGGATGGCTATGGGGGAATCAGTGGAATATTAGAAAGTGAAGGAAATAACAATGAAAAGAAGTGAATAGTAAGTAGTCTGATTCTTTAGGCCCCTGAAAAATGAAGATGGTTTAGTAGTTCCAGTTCAGATACTTAATGTCTATCTAAAGTGTTTGAGTTCCACTTTCTAGGCAGTGGATAAACTGAAGTGAAAGTTTTGAGTGTTTGGGTGATAGAATCAAAACACTACTTGATTATAGATATTAAATAAGCCCAGTTTGGTGAAGATTGGTGGTTTGGGAATTGTAGTAGGAAAAACACGTAAAATGTAAATATGGTCTTTCTCTAAGAGAGGAGGGAAGCATTTGGGTCAGGGAAATTCCTGTCTTGTCATCTGATGGGCTTACAAGCAGGTGTCATCAGAAACATGTAGTGAAGAAATTATAGTTGTTTCTCTAGTAAACTGAATTAGTTTTGAGTGAAATAGTCATGTGAGCATGTTGAACAAGCAGTTGGGTATATTAAGACCCAGAACTTGAAAGCAACCAAGTGGAGACAGAGAAATAGATGTTGATGTCTAGGAGGCCTTCTTGGGTGTGTCCTAGAGTAAATTGAAAGGGGGAGAGAAAAGGAGTTAATATACAATAAGCATATATGCCATGTGAGGCACTTTATGTATGTACATTTAATATTCCACAGCCTTTCCTCCATTTGCAGACAAACTGATTTTTAAATAAGTTAAATAATAATTACCCAGGGGCTTACTGCTGGCTAATGGCAGGGCTGGGATTTGAATACAAAGCTCCCTATCTTAATTGCTGCCTCAGGGTAATAATTTTGTGACCTGGTGGAGGAGGGGGGGGTCACAGGTGAAAACTTTAAAAGGACACTAGAACTTGTGGGGAATGAGGAGAGGTTCAGTAATGAAAGAGATGTGATGAGAGGTTGCAGATGGTTTTTCTAGAGGTTTGGTTGCAAGGAATTCAAGTAGAAATTGCTAAAGAATGAAGGAAAAGAGAAGTTGATAGTGTTCAAGGCAAGGGTGCTAGGCTTTGCTGGTCTATAGAGGAATATATAAGATATGTTTTTGTTTTGTTTGGCGGTCACAACTGTCAGTGATCAGGGATTACCCCTGACTCTTCGCAGTGCTCAGGGGACCTCATGGGGGTGGGGGGTGGAACCTGGTTCTGCCACAAGCAAGGCTAGCACCCTGTTATCACTCCGGCCCTCAAAGTAATTTATAAGGTCTTACCCTTACTAACCAGGCTGGAGTGATAGCACAGTGGTTAGGGCGTTTGCCTTGCACGCAGCCGACCTGGGTTCGATTCCTCCATCCCACATGGCAGAGCCTGGCAAGCTCTCTGTGGTGTATTCGATATGCCAAAAACAACTCTGCACTCAGGGATCATTCCTGGTGGGGCTCAGGGGGAGTATATGTGGTGATTGGCCCCAGGTAAACCTTGTGCAAGGCAAGCACCCTATCTG